GGTCTCACCAGGGACACACAGGACTGGGTCTGTCATTATCCTCTCTATACACTGTTCCCTCTAGGACAGCTGGAAGAAGCCCCCAAGTGGGCAGACAGCCGTGTCCTTGGCCTTGGGGAAGGACGCTCAGCTGGCCGGTCTGCCAGACGCGAAGTTTCAAGGCTTGTTGTAAAAGAATTCACTGCCGCCCCCGAATTCAGCCCTCTTGGGCCTTGGAGGCTCAACTTGGAGAGGGAGAGTGACCAGAACCACCCCCACGCAGGAAGCCCAAATGGCCACTGAGAAGAGAGGCCGAGGCAGGTTTTTGTCCGGCTAGGTCCAGATTTTCGAGTTTGGGAAGACGTCAGCCCAGGCTACAGGCCTTGAGGTTCCAGCGTCTTTCACCCACAGCGACGGGAAGGACTGGCGGGGGGTCGCTGCTTCCAATAGAGCGAGGGTCGTCCCTTCCCCCGCTAGGGCCAAACCTGGGGCATGAGGATCATGCCCGAGTAGGGTCAGCCAGTACCCTCGGGACCTTCTCCCCCACGCGGCTCCCAGATTTGGCATCTGCGGTACAGATCAGATCTGCCGGGGCGCTGGGAAAGCCGGCGGGTGGGGATCCCGGCCTCGGGCTGGGTGCTCGCTGGGCGCCCGGGCGCAGCGGCGCTCTGCTCTTCCCTGGGATTTTCCCGAGACTCCCCACGAGTTGGCCCCGATCCCTTGGGGGGTTTCCTTCCCCCGCGCCCGCGCGTCGGCCTCCTGCGCACCGTCGGGGCCCCTGTCGTGCCGAGCCATGCCCACGCCGGTCTCCCGCCAGGACACGCAGCGCTGGAGCTCCGCAGAGGGGTCTCCGGACCTGCCGCCCTCTGCGCTCTGCTCCGGGAACCCAACGCCGGGCGGGAAGGACGCGCGGCGGGGCTTGAAGGGGTGGGGGCGAGTGGCCGAGAGCGTGAGAGCCGCGGCCGGCTGTTATCTGGGGCTGAAGGCTGCGGTAATCGATGGGTTATTTTTACGCGGTAATAGGGCCCTGTGATTGCTCTATTAACCTTTAGACCTGTCTGAGGGACCCGGGCTCGCAGCCCCGCCGTGCTCCAAACCCGGCCTGGCCACGCTCCCGGGCCCCGCTCAGGGGTGTGTGTGTAGGGGAGAGGCCTCGCCCCGCAGCGCTGCGGGGAGAAGGGGGCGCGCGTTCTGCCCGGGCTCCCAGAGCGAGGGATTGCTGCCGGCCCTTCTGTCCGTACGACTCCTGGGGCTGCCCCTCGCGAAGTTGGGCGCCCCGCAGGCTGCGGGCGGTCAGTCGCGGGGGGCTGAGTTCGGGGGAGGAGGAGCCGCACGACCACCGCCCCTGGACGCGCGCAGCCCGCCGGGTCCCCCAGGCGACCCCTGACCACGGGCGATGGGGGGCTGCGCGCGCCCGAGGGGGCCCCTTTTACTCCCGGGACCCCGCCCCTCGAGCACCGCGCCCGGGCCGGGGACGGACCGGGGAGCGTAGGGCGCCGGGAGCCCGAATCAAGGCCGGCGGGCGACGGCGCGGGCACGCGGGCGGCTTCCGCGGAGCGCCCCGCGCTGGACTTTGCCTGCGGCCCCGCCGCCCGCTGCCCCGCGGCGCCCCCGCCCCCGGCACGTGACTCCCGCCAGCCAGTCAGCGGCGGCGAGCGGGGCGCGGGGGCGCGGGCACCGGCGCGGCCGGGGGAACTCGGACGCTGCCGGCACTGCGGCCGCCAGCGCCCGCCGCCGCCGAAGCTCCGGGTGGGCGCGGGGAGCGCCCGGCGCGCCAGGACGCCGAGTCCCGCAGGTACCGCCGTCGCCGTCCCGCCCGTCCGCCGCAGGGCGCGGGGAGCGCGCGCGCCTCCGAGGACGCATCCGCCCCGACCCGCCGCCCCGGGAACCGCCGCGTGGCCGGGTGCCCTCGGCGCGGGGAGCGAGGCCCCGCGGCCCGGCCCGCGCCTGGGGACGCCCCGGAGTCGCCGCGTGTCCGCTCGGGGTGCGCCGACCCTGCCGACTCGCCCGGGCCCGGAGAGTGGCCACCGGGCTCGGGGCTGGGCCTCCCCGGGGAGCGGAGGGACGTCGTGACCTGCCTCCAGGTTGGGTCGGAGGTGGACGGCCAGGAACCGCCGCGGGGCCCCTGCGGGAAGGCACGGGGCTTCCCGGAGCTCGGAGGGTCTTGGGGTATAGGGGCGAGGACGCCTTGCGCGCCCTGTGCCTGGGGGTCCCCCGATGGGCCCCGTCTTGCCCAGCGCCAGGGGCCAGGAAGACCCTTTTCGGCGCAGCAGGCCCCGAGCCGAGGCCCGCGAGGAGGCCGGGTGCACGGACGCGACGTTTGCGCGTTCGGAAGGAGTTGGGAAAGGGGCGGTGGGCTGCCGACCGTGGGTCTGGCTCGAACGGCTGGATGGAGAGGGACCGGGCGCAGGCCCGTGCGCCCCTGGGAGGCCAGGCCTCTTCTGCCCGCGGTAGTTGGCGGCGCCTAAACCCACTCTGGTTTGCAGAAACGGACGGTCGTGGTTCCGCTCTTGTCTTACGTTGTCTTGTACTTTTTGCCCAGCCCTGCGCCGGCCTGGAGGTGGTCGCGGTTGGGCCACTAAAGGCAGAGAAGGTGGTCTTATGAGGGTGCGATTTGTGGCATTCGGAACAGTTGCTTTTCGTTTGTAGAATTTTTTTTTCCCGTAACTTTGAGTTTTGGGCCACCCTGGGAGGTGCCTTGGTGGGCGTGGAGGGGTCGCTCCAGGCGGTGCTAGGATGATCCCACCGGCCCTGGGGGCTTGCTCGTTTTCAAGCCTGTATTTTAGCATATGTGTCTAAAGAGACTGGAAATTGGGTTTCAGAATTACAAAGCCTTCCAGTAAAGTTTCAGAGTTGCAGGAACTGAGTATTACAGAAAACACAATGAAACAAGTTAAGTATATATTTGCTCTGTAAAATTAAATATGGAATATTTCACCAAGGTGGACTTCTTAATTTAATTTTTGAAGCTTCAACATTCCTATGAGGTATTAATAGTTGGCCTTCGCTTTCAAAGGGGGAAATGGTGATATCAGATCTCAAAGTTTTTTATTATTATTCATTTTCTAATCAGACATCATACTGGAAAGAAATGTTCATCAAACCAATAATTCATGATATATTTTGAAAACTAAATAAACCATTTAGGACTTCCTAAGATAGCCAATGTGACATAGTGCTATTAATTTCACAAAAATTTTATTAGTAATACTGCAAAATTAAATGCTGTTTATACTGGAAGCATTACATTATTAGAATTCTAATGCGTTAGAATTCGATTTCTAGAATTTATTATAGAGATGACAGTATCTTTTAATACATTTGAGATACTTTCTGTGGCTCATTAAGTTACATAGTAATGCTTATATGGGACTTTATTTGTGCCTGTTGTAACAGTTTCATAAAACCTAGCTATATGTACATTAAATAGGTTTATTAACATCCTCCCTCATAATGACTACAAGGTAGATTCCTTGAAAATGTGCCTCTTGCAATGAGAGGACAGGCATGGGTTTAAATAACGCACCTGGAGTTACTCAGTAAGTGGTGGAGAACATCTTTGTCACGACATTGGCATGACAAGGAAAGTGCTCTTAGCAGTCAGGAGAGATGGGTGCTGGCGGGTGCCTTCCCCAGAGCCTGGAGCTTGCGGGGTTCTAGAGTCCACCCTCTTATCCTCTAACCATACTGGAACTTAGACAAGTTTTCCAGTTATTTGGTAAAATGTGGAGAGGCCCTTGGGCCTCCTGGGCTTCTGGAGAAGCAGGTACTCAAGAGCACAGGCTCTTGTTTGACCAGAGAAACAGATGGGAGAGCAGGACAGGGTTGGTGAGTACTGCGGCTGGTATTCCCCCCTCCCTCCCAAGGCCTGGGGTCTTCTGTTTGGGCAGTCCTCTTGGAAAGAAATCCCGTCTGAGATCTGCCGGGACCCAGAGAGTTGTTCTGTGCAGTGACCTTACTCCATGTCTCTCACTGGACTGGTTGCAGTATCCATCCTGCAAAAAAATGGAAACCACAAATTACTTGCAAGAAACATTTCTATTGTTGGGGCCAGAGAGCAGTAGTACAGCGGGGAGGGAGCTTACCCAGTACTTGGCCAGCCAGGGTTTGGTCCCCCAGCCCATCAGCGGTGAGTCCTGAGCACCACCAGGTATGGCTCAAAAACAGAAAGAGGAAGAAAAATGGAAAAGGAAACGCTGGTCTCATTAGTTTCATGTCCCTGTGCTAGAAGGTCTGAGCTCCAGCTGCATCTCCAGCCGTTTCAGGAGCACCGGCCTACAATCATTTCTGACTAGCCAGACCAGAGGATTCGTTCTTTCTGTTGTTACTGTTTCGGAGAGTCTTAGACTGCTGCTGTTTCATAACGTTTGTTCTGGTGTTCCACGGGCGGCTGAAGCTTTCCCAGGCTTGTGCCTGGGGGTGAGAACGGGGAAGCTGAGCTCTGGAGGGTGCAGACCCTACTCAGAAACCCCTGACCTTGGGACTTAACGACCTGCTCGAAAATCATCTAAAAATAAAGTGCTTCCTGAAGCAAAGCAAAAGTAAGAGCCGCGGCTCACAACTTAACATCCCGGCCGGCCCGGATCCGGGAAGCCTGATTTCTCTGCAAAGACGCGGGACCCGGGTCGGCCTGCGGGGCGCGAGCCTTCCCGCTTTTTTCCCCTGTTTTTTGGGCCACACCTGACTGCGCGCGGGGCTCCCTCCTGTCTCGGGGATCACGCGTGTGGGGGACTGTGGGGACAGCCGTAGGGGAGCGCGAGGGATCGAGCCGGGCCGTGCCGGGCGGGCGAGCACCTTCCCCCGCGGCCCTGCCCCCGGTCCCCTGGCCCGTGCTCCTTCAGGTCAGTCTGAACGTGTCTCCTCTGTGTTGCGCCCCCAGGACCGCACCGCTGCGTGGAGCCCGTCGGACCCTCGGCTCTGGGCGTCGGCGCCAGCACCGGCCCCGCACGCCGAGCCCCAGGCCGCGGGGCGGCCCGAAGAGGAGAGCGCGCGCCGCCGCGAGCCCCCCGCGCGCCCGGAGCGACAGCCGCGAAGAGCCGGAGCCCCGCGCCCCCCAGCAGCGGCCGGGCCCCGCGGGGCGGCCTGGGGCCATGTACCAGAGCCTGGCCATGTCCAACCACGGGCCCCCGCCCGGCGCCTACGAGGCGGGCGGCGCGGGCGCCTTCGTGCACGGCGCGGCCGCCGCATCCCCGCCCGTGTACGTGCCCACGCCGCGGGTGCCGTCGTCCGTGCTCGGCCTGTCCTACCTGCCGGCCGGCGGCGGCGCGGGCGCGGCGGGTGGCGGCGCAGGGGCAGCCCCGGCGAGCGCGGGGCCCGGGGCGCAGCAGGGCAGCCCGGGCTGGGGCCAGGCGGGCGCCGAAGGCGCGGCCTACACGCCTCCGCCGGTGTCCCCGCGCTTCTCCTTCCCGGCCACGTCGGGCTCGCTGGCCGCGGCCGCGGCGGCCGCTGCGGCCCGGGAGGCGGCGGCCTACGGCGGCGGCGGCGCGGCAGCGGGCGCGGGGCTGGCGGGCCGCGAGCAGTACGGACGCGCGGGCTTCGCAGGGTCCTACTCCGGGCCCTACCCCGCCTACGTGGCCGACGTGGGCGCTTCCTGGGCCGCCGCCGCCGCTGCCTCGGCCGGCCCCTTCGACGGCCCAGTGTTGCACAGCCTGCCCGGCCGCGCCAACCCCGCTGGCCGGCACCCCAACCTAGGTGAGTACGGGGCGCCCCGAGGGCGCGGGCGGGACGGGGCGGCGCGGGGGGCGCGTGCCCAGAGTCCCGGAGGGCGGGCGGTGGGGAGGGGTCACCCCCCCAATCCCCGGACACCCCCAAGGCCAGGGCAGCATGCCTGTTGATCTGGCCCATGAGGCGGCGGCGGGTGGGTGGGGGAGGCCGGGCCGGTGAGCGCGCACTGTCCTGGTGCAGGCCCCTCAGGCAGGGGGAGCTGCGTGCTGGCCATCCCGAGGCCCCCCGTGGAGACCTCAAGGGGAGCCGACTGGTGCCTGGCCCTGGGTCCCCAGATCAGGGCCATTTGGCCGCGGGGTGGGACCATTTCCCTTGGCGGCGTCAGATGGTTTCCCAGGGTCGGTGGGGGTCTCTCGCTGGCCACCAGGAAGGAGCCAGAGAGGGTGCTGCACGTGGACGCCCCAGCCTCAGGGGACTGGGCCTCAGGTTGGCCGGGTATCCCCTTGGGACCACCTTGTGCCCCTCACTTGGCAGGATTGGCAGGAATCGAAGTGTGGGGCTGAACGTCAGGGGCTTTCTGAGGGGAGGGAAGAGGTGGGTGGGTTGCTGGAGACAGTTGGCATGACCACCTTCCAAGTGCTAAACCCCTTGGCATTTGTTCTCACTTTGCCTACTTTGCGGAGGAAGGCCTGACCCTGGGCTTTCTGAGTTCCTTTGAAAGAGCTTTTAAAGGACCCTCTGGGCCTGGAGGTGGGTCCCAGCCAAATACACATCCCCTGGCATCTCATTGACCCTGGAGGTGGCTCCACACCACTGTGAGCTGGGGGAGCCAGACGGCACCCGGGGAGAGCCGGGTGGCCCAGGCTCCTGCCTCTGGGGGTCCAGTGGAGATAAGGCGGCACCCATCTCCATACAATGGAGTGGCCAGCCCCTCGCCAGCAGGGCTGCTTGCATTCTCTTAGCGGGAGGGGAGGGGATAGCCTCTGCTTCTAACTTGGGGCTGAGGTGCCCAGAGACTCTTAAATCCTGGAGTGAGAATTTGCTGTTTGATTAGAGGGAAAGAGATGCAAAATCTGGAGGCTTGAGGCCTTCTACTCACTCCAGCAACGACAAAGGGAAGAGCTGAGAACTCTGTGTGTGTGTGTGTGTGTGTGTGTTTGGGGGAGGGGTCACTTCCAGGGTGCTTCTGCCCAGTGAACACAGCCCCGGGCCAGGATCAGCCCACCAGGATCAGCCCACCGTTGGCATAGCTGGGAGTCATGTGTGCCCTTTTAAGCTTGTACTGCGTGCTGAGTGGAAAGTGTGAGGGTGAGCGCCCTTAGCCAGGTTGGGGACGCTGCAAGGAGGATTGGAGGATAGTGGACCCTCTGGATGCTGGTGTTTAGTGTGGGCAGGGTGGAAGCCTACCTGCCTTCCCTCGGGTCTCCTGAGCTGGAGGATTTGGGCAGCGTCTGTCTTCTGTCCTGAGTGAGTGCTGTCTCTTGTGTGAAGTGTCACCCTGCAGTAGTGGGCTGAGGGGAAAGCTAGCGCAGTGGTTCTGTCTTCTCAGAACCTTCTGGAAGGCTTCACCTAAGGCCTGACATCTGCGTTTGATCCCGAAGGGTAAGCACGCCTTAGCCGGGAGTCGCGCTTGCACTGGAGTAAGAATGTTTATATCTGCGTGTGCCCTAATGCACTGGCATCTCCAAGCTGGTCTTTGTCCAAGCAGCTTTCCCGGCCAGGGTCCAGAGGACCCACTCTGACCTCCAGTGACAATCCTGGGAATGGAAGCTGTGGTCTGAGACTAGGGGGCCAACGCGCAGGTCAGGGGGCCCACAGGATGGATACTGGGTTGGAAGGCGGCCACATTTGGGAAAAGGAAGAGAAACGCTGGTTTTAAAAAATGCATTTGTTGCCGTAGGCAAAACGTCTCCGACTTCACTCATGGACTCAACCCGTTTTCCTTTCTGTGAGAGGAAATGAGCAGCCTTCCTACCCCGTGTCCCGCCGACCGCCTTCGTGGTAGCGTTAGTGAGTGGCCCCGTGTGGGCTGTGGGAAAGAAGCAAATGCAGACACCCAGGAGAGAAGGCACGAGAGCCCCTGGGAAGCCGCCGCCCAGCTGAGGTGGCTGTGAGACCCGCCCTGCTGGCCCGGTGAACTTTAATTCATTCCAAGTTCAGCATGTGCTGTGCCTTGGACTCCCGTGGAAATCGCCAGTTAGGCACATTAGGGGAATTATGTGACCTTACCAAGGGCCGGGACAGAGTCTTACTCATATTTAAGTGCCTGGCACATGCTGGGCACTTAGCAAATATTTGAGCAGAGATGTAGCAGGGAATTGGCTCAGTGCTCACGTGGGCACGCCACAGACAGTGGCTGCTGGAGGGGCTGACCCCCGAGCGAGCAGTGGTGGGGGAGGGGGGCTACCAACAGAGCCCACTCGGTGCCAGTGTGACTGAGCACATCCCAGTGCTCGTGGCCCGGGACCTGAGCTCTCTTGGTAGCACCCTGGGCACTGGGTGACGGCACTGCCATCTGCCTGTGGCAAGGACCAGGGCGAGGGCCACGTCTGGGTCAGTGGGCGCAGGAGCTGGGGCCTTGCGGCTGCCTCCTTGTCACAGCAGGGACATGGCGTCTGATTTGGCAGCGTGCCTTAAATCAGGGTCTACACCTGATGTTGATTTTCAGGGCAAAGAATCCCGGCTCCAGAGAGACAGGACAGCGGTGGGGCCTCTGCCTTCCATGTGGCCAACCCAGGTCCATCCCCTGGCACCCCATATGGTCCCCCTGAGTTTTCCTGAGCTCAGAGCCAGGAGTAATCCATGAGCATCGCTGGCTGAGGCCTCCCCCAAAACTAAAATAAAGATGAAGGACCTCACTGTGTTCGATGAATGAGTTTGGGGTTGAGGCCATACCTGGTTGTGCTGTGCTCGGGGGTGAGCCTGGCAGTGCTCAGGAACCATGAGTGGAGGAGTAGGTTGTTTGTAGTAGACGCTTCTGGAAGATCTATGAAAACAGATTCTCTTGTGAAATGACTGTCCTCTTGGGTAGTAGAAGAACAAACCATTGTCCTGTTTTCAGAAGCTCTCAGAAATTCCGAGTATTTTGAGGGTCAGCACAGTGAAATCCGCCTCTGGGTTACCCAGATGCCCCCCCTGAAGGTCGCATGGGGGCTTCGCAGTGTTCACAGTGCCCGGCAGTGGAGCCTCGAGGGCCTGTTGCTTATCAGCGAGCCAGTGTGGGCCTTTGTGAGATCAGCTCTAAAGTGGCCTGTTTGGCCGGAGACCAATTTGTCAGTCTTTGAGAAACGCCAAGTTGTTTGACTTTCCGGTCACCACCCTGAGCCGGTCAGTGTGAGCTGGGCTGGTCTGTGTGCTGGGGTGACAGCCAATGACGGGGGGCGGTGTGTGTGTGGAGGCTGTGGGCTGAGGCGTGTCCCCGCTTCGAGTCAGCGCTGTCACTCGCCTGACATCCCACTGAAAGATCAGGCCCATTCACTCAATACTTTTATTTTTTTTGTTTGTTTTTTGGGTCACACCTGGCAGCTCTGAGCTCAGGGCAGACTCCTTAAGGGCTCAGGGGACCATATGGGACACAGAGGGGATAGAGCCCTGTCCCTCATGCAAGGCCAGTGCCCTCCCCGCTAGGCTGTTGCTCTGGTCCCTCTTCAGCTCTTTCTAAGCACTCGGGGGATTACACAGAGGAGAGTTTCAGTGAGACGCTTTTTTTTCCTGTTCTCCGTTTTCTCATTTTTACTTAAATAAGGAAACAGACCGCCAAAGTGTGGCACATAGGAACTGCGGGGTCTTCATCAGCCTGTCCTTTTCAGGAGCCTCTGGGGATACCCCTCCAGTCCCGAAGTCGCTGTTTGAGACCCAGAAACATCACTTGTCGGATTTCTGCAGGTCTGCTTGAAGTGAAAGTCAGACATGACCTGGGATGTCTGATAGGCATCCACTGGGATTGCATCTGGTCCCTGCAAACAGCAAGGTGTTGGGTCAGTATGAAAGATTAGGAAAGGCATTCCATGGCATGATATTTTTTTACATTATACAGCGGATAGCACACCTTGCACGCGGCCGACCCGGGTTCGATTCCTCCATTCCTGGTCTGTGAGCCCAGCAAGCTACCGAGAGTATCCCACCCGCACAGCAGAGCCTGGCAAGGCTCCCCGTGGTGTATTCAGTATGCCAAAAACAGTAACAAGTCTCCCAATGGAGACGTTACTGGTGTCCGCTCAAGCAAATCGATGAACAACGGGACGACAGTGCTACGTTTGTGCAAAAGAAAAAAAAAACAATGTTTATGTATTTGAAAATAGATGATTTATGTCTGGAAATATCAGCAGGAATGTGAGACATTTGCCTGCCCTGGGTGTGAAACCGTCTTCTTGGGGGCTTGGAGCATTGGTGCGGTGCTGTGGGGCTAGCCCGGCTTTACCCACATTGGCGGGCCTTTGCTACCCTTTGAGTTGGTCTGGCCTTCTGGTCCTTCTCAACCACCGTCATCATTTTTTATAGGAATTTCTGTCATGCCTTAAAAAGGAAATAACATTGAACAGTAATTAGCCAGAAACGTAAAATGATAAGGAAGTTAAAAGTTTTCAAACCCTGTTTTTAAGTGTGCCATGTTTGGGAGTGTGTGTGTGGTAGAATGGTCTGTGAGACAGATTTTCATAATGTTGTAGCCTGCCAACCTCAAGCTCTCTGCCTAGCGCCTGGTCACTCCTGAGCTGGACGCCTTGTCCCCTGTGGGAAGGCCCTGCCTGCTCTGTCCCTGAGCTCGGGATGAGCCTGCTGCTCCTTCCTGCTTGTGGCCCCGTAAGACTCCCCGCCCGGGGCCTGGTTCGCTGTCTGTCAGCAGCAGCTGAGTTGGTCCCCTCCTTGCTTTGTGCCAACAGTATCTTTCTTTTTGGATCCTGTGAGCACACACAGCGCCTGGGTCTCCTCAGCAGTGCCTCAGTGGGCGCTGGCTGCCGCCACCCTGCCCCGGCCGGGCTCCCACACAGCCCTGCCACCTCACCTGCGGCGGAGGGCAGCTCTCTCGCCTACCTGGGGCTGGAACCAGAAGTCACTGGCCACCAGCCCCGGCCACCCTCCCTGGAGTGGAACAGGTGTTGGAGAACCAGGTGACCTTCCTCGGGGCAAGGTCAGGCCTTGAAAGAGGCCTCTCAGCCTCTCAGCCCCAGAGGTAACGCTGCTGTTTGCATAGGAAAGAGGAAGAAGGCAGCTTTCAGGCTGCTGCCCTAAGCCCCCGGAGGTCTTTCCTGTAAGAGGGAAGGGCGCCCCGAGGGTTGGGAATGGGCATCCTTGGACAGTTCCAGGTGCACACATTTTAGGGAGAAAGCAGAAGTGGAGGGGCTGTCTGGCGGCACTTGCAGGTCGCCAGTTCCTGTTCGGTCCCCAGCACATTGCCTGAGCATTGCCAGGAGCGACCCTTGAGTGCCACTGGGTGGGGTCCAGAGACCCCTTCCTATCCTGTCCCACCAAGAAAGCCGAAGTGGAGCTAGAGTAGAAATAACCTCGGGTGTGTTTGAGTTCTACCAAATAAATGCGAGAGTCGGCGACATTACGGCTTGGCTAATGGCCATCTGGGGTCTGAGGGGATGTCTGGGTCCCACTGGGACTGTATGTGCGACTCTGTGAGCCTAAGGGACGCGCTTGGCTCCAACCCTCAGGTGAGGACCCACTCTCCTGAGTGCTCAGCTCCACCTTGGGCTTCCTCAGGTCAGCTGTGCCCCGTTCCTCTCCCATATGGTTGGTCTTCTGGGTAACCCTGAAGGACCCTGCCCCCTCCCCCCCAGGACCCGTCTAGAATCCCCCGACTGCAGCCGAGGACAATGCCACGTTCCCCATTTCCCCGATGAGTCTCCCCGTGGTTGGGGCAAATCTCTATAATAGCATATTTATTTGTTGACTTATTTATTTTCCTTTCTTGGTGCTTGGATCTCCCCTGGCTGTGCTTCAGGGCGCACTCTTGGCTCTGCTCTGATCACTCCTGGGGGACTTGGGGACTTGGGGCCCAGGCCAGGTAATGGGCTGGAACCCCGGCCGCTGTGTGTGGGCAGGAGGGCAGGTGCCGTCCCCTCCCCTACCTGTGTCCTTTGGTCTTAGAAGGATGGTGAAGCCCTGCTTTCTCAGTCCTGCTGCCCCCACCCTACCCCCAGTACTCCTTAAAGTGATTCTAGGTTTTGTTTGTTTGTTTGGTTTGGTTTTGGGGTTACGCCCTGTGGTGCCTAGGGATCACTCCTCACTCCTGGTGGTGCTCAGGGGACTCTATGAGGTGCTGGGGATGGCACCAGGTCAGGAAATGCTCTCCTCACTGTTCCGTTGCTCAGGCCCCAGACTGATTTTTTAAAAAAATTATATTTTAGCTTTTTGGGTCACACCCGGCGTTGCACAGGGGTTACTCCTGGCTCTGCACTCAGGAATTACTCCTGGCGGTGTTCAGGGGACCATATGGGATGCTGGGAATCGAACCCGGGTTGGGCGCATGCAAGGCAAATGCCCTACCCACTGTGCTATCGCTCCAGCCCCTGATTTTGTTTTTAATAAAGATGCGACTAGAAGCAAGACCAGGAGCACAGCCCTGTGGCCGGCAGGGAGCGGGGGCCCCTGGGAAGCTCTGGCTCTGGGTTGATCTTGCTCTGTAATCAGAATCCAGCCAGCACCATGGCTCTTATCTCAATGAGTGGAATCTGATTTTTTGGCCATCGGCGTTTTGCACGAGCCCAGCAGTTGACTTCATGTTTCTCGATGTCTTCTCCTATCCACCCCCAGAAGCACAGGGACAGGCAGAAGTGCTGTCCCCAGCTTGCAGGTCACCCACAAACTGGAGATTGGAGCCTGAGCAATCCAACTGTGGTGGGAAGCTAGAAGGATCGTGACTTTGTAAACCCTGGGAGGCCCCAATCTGGGCCCACTTTGGGCTCCTTAAACTTTAACCCAGGGCCTGAGAGCCAGTGCAGGGATAAGGTGCTTGCCTGGAAGCTGCTGACCCTGTCTCAGATCCTTGGCATGGCACTTGGTACCGCCAGGAATCAGCTTGAGCACAAAGCTGGAAGTCAGCCCTGAGCACAGAGCTGGGAGTGATCCCTGAGCACAGATCCAGGAGTGATCCCTGAGCACAGAGCCAGAGTAGCCTCAGAGCACTACAAGGTGAAAGGGTATAGCCCAACCGCTTCCACCGCTACCACCCCCTCAAAAAACAAACTGAATTCAGTCTTTAAACTACGTTTCAGTCTTGCTTTTTTCTTCCCAGTTTAAATCTCCATTTCTCCTTCTAGAAATCCAGTCAAACTTTATCACCTCCATTCAGAACTGATCGATAGCAACTGGTGAGCAGGTTAATTATAATCGCAGAATAAACGCTGGAGTCTCAAAGTTCACCACTTGTGCAGTGTTCCAAACCCCTCGGGGACCCTGCCAAGCCTCTCGTTGACCCCCTGAGCAGGTGTGGGGGCTTGACCCAGCAGACAATCGGACCTGATTCGGGACTGCTCATTTGGTCGCTTATCGGGAACTTTTCCTATCTGACGACGTCTGTCATTTCAGATAAAACAAGTTCAGTCAATTGAGTTGGGAAATGGCAAGTTACATTTTCTCCTGATAAAAGTTTTCTAGTTGTGGTTTTATCAGATTGGGTTGAAATTGTATGTGTTTCTGTCAAGGTCTGCAGTGACCTTTGGAGATATTTTATCAGGTATTAGGTGGGGGGAGAACTTTTTTTTCCCTTTCTTTCTTTGCCCTCGCAAAGAATGACCTTACTTCCAAGATCATAAATCAAACCAGGCAAAGAGAGGCAATAATATAAGTTATCCCTCAAAATCGAGTAGGTGGGGAAAACAAACAGCAAATACAACCTTCCCCAAGCCTCTCCAGGGAACTTAACTTGACCCGGAGTAAAGAATGTGGTTCTCACGAAGTGTGGGCTTGCTGGGGAAATCCGGCAGACTTGCAAGAAAGGAAATGTTGGCCG